TTTTTTTTTGGTCTTCTGGGCCTGCTTAACTAATCTTTCTAATTCGGTGAAAGAGTATTTTTTCCTTGACATTTTTTATTTTCCTTTTTATTAGTTAGTTATCATTTAACTAAATATTATATAATAATTTTTTACGAAAAAAAGTAATGCCAAGCCACTTAAAAACTTGTAAAATATTATTAAGGAGTTTAACTTGACATTTGCTCCTTTTCCTGACCGTCCCGAGTAGGCAATACTTGGGATGGTTTTTATATTTTTATTAAAATACATTTATTATAAAAGTTATATTAAATATTTTAGGGAAAAATTTAATCCAAAAAATCAAGCCCTCAGAAACCAAAGTTAACCAATTAAAAACTAAAATATAGAACATGCCAAATAATTATAGTAGCCAACAAATTATCAATACCATCGAAAGTTACCGCTATTTCCTTTTATCTCCTTCCCAACTGACTGAACTAAAACAGGCATCCGAAAAAATTTTTAAATTAGCCAATGAGACTTTGCTGGACATTATCCAGAAAAAAGAGGTCGAACCCTGAATGGAATCCCGGTATGGGATAGTTAAGTCGCTGTGAGAAAATGGTCAAACTGGAATAAACTTAATGAGAATTGATTTTGCCTGGGATCTAACGGGAAATCTGCAAGTATTAGAGCTGAATACCTTATCTCATAGTAGTTGAATAGTATCTGGTCTAATTGAACAAAAATCAGCCGCTGATAAAATTGGTATTCCTTTAGCCCCCAAGCCCCTGTTTTACTCCAAATATGTGTTAGAAAAACTGGGACCCAAAATAGCCATTATGGTTAAAGGAACTGAATACAGCAAAGAGTTGGATCTATTATTGCCACAACTGGAAAGCTTAGGGGGAAAAGGTCGTATTATAGCCCTTTCCGAAACTGCTTTGGCTGAGGTTAGCGATTTTGCTCCCACCGGATTATTTTGGCGTTGTCATGCAGCTCTGGTTGAACATTCTGAACTAGTGCTGCAACTGGCCAAGTTAGGTCTACCACAAATATCATCTTTTGAGTCTTTATTTATTTCTGGGGACAAATCATTTCTAACTATTCTAAAAAAAAGAGATACCACCGGCACGATTCCTCAAACTTATGTTTTGTCAAAAAATGACCTGGCTCAAAATCTTAATTTGCTGGTCAAAGATCGATCCGTGCTAAAACCCGGCGACTCAGCCCGGGGTGAGGGGGTTTTCCTGGGCAAAAACTTTACTAATCAGGCTTGGGAAAAGAAAATAAAGGAAGTTATGAATTCTCAGAAAGAGTGAGTGTTACAAGAATTATGCTACTTGCTACAAACTGAGGATGGTAAATACCAAGATATTACTGTTTTTCTGGCCGATGGTGTGGTACGAGGGATTGGTTCCCGAGTTTCTGATCAGGAAATAGTAAATGTGGCACAAGGGGGGCAGAGACAAGCAGTAGTGTTGTCTTCAGAGGAAGTAATGGGGAAAGAGGATACTAGCGAGTTAAGTTGCAGGATGATAATAAGGAAAGAAAATTAAATATAGACATTATGAATTAAAATGTAAAAAAAA